TATATATATATATATATATATATATATATGCTTATATCATGCTTATATCATAAAGAAAAACTTTCAAAATCATCATTTCCTATCATCCAATTGTAATTGTATGTTGATTGATTTGCATTAGGTGGCTGTATGATACATGAAGTACACGATCAATCAAAATGCACATGGACCACACTTGGGACAAATTAGAATGAGAATTTATGCTCTGTATGATATGGTGAAAGCTTGCTTCCAAAGGATTCATTAGTGTACGTAGTGTAGTAGTTTAGAGTAAATGTTCCCCTTCAGGAAAAGTTCTGAATTCGAGTCCTAACATTTCTGTAGTGTGTGTGAATTTAGTATGTTATTGCTATTCTTAATAGGGAAAGGTTCTCAAAAAAGAAAAAGAAAAAAGTTGCTTAACTTGGTCATTACCCTGTTGCATTTATATAGTTATAATATGAATGGACCACAAGTTTTTTACGGTATAATATCAATAATAATAAATAAAATCCATGTTATAATTAATGCAAAACATCAATGTCGTGACACCCTATCACTCTTGAATGTGTCTGGTCTACCTACTATATTTTGGGCCATAAAATTACGTTGCACGTTGTGTTGCACGTTGTGTGGTGGTCAAGAAGCTATCAGAATAACTGTGTGTAAAGCAGGTTGCGAAATTCATATATGTCGGCCGGCAAGCTTGCCTTGGCCCTCTGGCCCTCTGGCCGAAATTCATATATAGAAGACCCTGACTTGTCATTTGAATACAGAAATGAAGCATCAGATTTGCGGCCGGATCAGGTGGGTCCACCAGATTGACAAACTTAAAAATTATTAAGTCTAGACATAGAAACTCTACATCCGACACAAAGAATTTTCATGTGTAAAAACTGAGAAAAAGAATCAAAAGACAATTAGAATTCCATAGTGTAATTAGCCTTGATTTCATTCCCTTAAACTATCCCAGCACTTGCCCAGACATTTCGTGGAAACCCACAATATTAATGTGGTCTGACTCTGGACTGGACTGGACCAGAAGTATATCATACAATTGAGGGCAGACACGAGTATTTGGTCGAACTCCAAAAGTGGCCAGCCATTCATACCACTACTCGACACAGTAGAAATTGATTTTTAATTTGGTTCTGAGTTCCCATATGCATATAGGAGAGTCATAATCAAACTGAAAGTTTCGGAGAAAAAACGGAATAATAAAGATCTTAGATGAAGTTGACTCATGCCATGTCAAAATGACGTTTCAAATACTCACTTGACAAGTTGGGCATTACCGATATCTATACACCAACTTAAGGGGGAGTATTGACGTGAGTTAACTAGTCTTATTAGGAATAGAATTATGTAATTATTGTAGTTTATTATAGTTACCTAATTTGTGTATATTTCTTATTTGTATATAGTATATATATACCTCTTCGAGAGAAGAATTAACATACCAGTTTAAACCCTAATTATTTATGAGTGACCCATCCATCCCATGCAAATATATATAGAGCCAGCCACCACTAACACCCTTCCCTTCTATAGAAGGAGGGAAACCTCATATTGGGTTGGTTTTCGAGGTTGGAGGATTTTCATGAAGCAAATATACAAGAATGAATAATAGAAGGTTAAACAAATCTGATTCTAAATCAAGTCTTTTTTCTTTTCTCTTTTCTAGAAACCTACAAAATCGTTAGAAAATTATAATAAAGATTTGCCTTAAAATATTCACCAAGCACCCATGAGAGCTATATGCTTATGAATCTATAGAAGGAGGGAAACCTCATATTGGGTTGGTTTTCGAGGTTGGAGGATTTTCATGAAGCAAATATACAAGAATGAATAATAGAAGGTTAAACAAATCTGATTCTAAATCAAGTCTTTTTTCTTTTCTCTTTTCTACAAACCTACAAAATCGTTAGAAAATTATAATAAAGATTTGCCTTAAAATATTCACCAAGCACCCATGAGAGCTATAACACAGAAAAAGGGACCATCATCAATTCTATGTCAAGAGGTTATTGCTTAGATTGGTTCTTTGTTTCATGTCAAAGATTTATGGCCCTACATTATTTTCTTGGGCTTGAAGTTACGAGGTCCTCTGAGGGTTTATTCTTGTCTCAAACTAAGTATGCTTATGAACTGCTGCAGAAATCTGATTTCTTGAGAGCCAAGGCTTGCTCCAGTGCCACAATTTCCCTCATTATATTTAAACGTATTTAGTGGAATTTATTGCAAATTTGACCACTTAACGCATTAATTGTTCTTGCTCCCCGTGTTTTTGTTTGAAGATTATTTAAGCATATTATTCAAATGGACTTACTTCGAATATTTTATGTTTGTGGGACCTAACGTATATTTGATTACTTAACATTGTAAATATAAATAATTTACCTAACGTATTGTTGTACTTATTTTTTGTATAGACTTAATCTAACTCATACTGTAAATATAATTTACCTATGTCATTTGAATAATGCGTACAAAAATACGTTAGGTCCCGTGATGTGAATTTTTCTAATATAATTAGAAAAATACATACATACACAGAAAATTTGACATACGTACCAGTCAAAGAAGATAGACACTACACATACATTTCACAGAGAAGGTAGACATATGGTCGTTTTTCAATATATCAAATCAATTTGAAGAAGAAAAATCAGAAGAGGAAAATGAAGCATTCAAATTTGCGGCCGGATAATCATGTTCCTTTTTGTTCTGTCTTAAAAGGGCATTTATGGAAATACACACATTTGGAAATACGTAATGGTTTGACTTAAACTGATTCTATAAATAACACACAAATTATGCGAGTCTACACAAAGACATCATAACAAAAGCAAAGTGAAGTGCGAGTGTGACTCTACATTGAAAAAAAAAATAGAAATTTGCATGGATTTGCAAGGATCTTCAGTTAAGAATCTTGTAACGAAGGTTAAACAAGATCTCTTAGCGTCATCACAAGTTGATGTTTATGGTCTTGTAACTCCTTCTCCTTATGACACTGCTTGGCTCTCAATGGTTTCCAACCCTCAACACTCAGATCAACCATTGTTTCAGGGGTGCTTGGATTGGGTGCTCCAACACCAAAACAGAGGAGGCTTCTGGGGTGAGAATATTGGTCATCCCACTATAGAGTGCCTCACTTCAACTCTTGCTTGCATTGTTGCACTTACCACATGGAATGTTGGTCACGATGCCATTCAGAAAGGTACACATATACTATATAGTTTTTCTTTAATCTGGACGTCCGTATTGGATGATTTCTATTACCAATGGATTATCTACAACGAGAATTACACTATTTCCGTAGCTTAAATCTAGAGAACCGTTCTTTAAAAAGAAAGTAACCAATCATACACGAAAATTAACAAATTTTGCGCATAACTAATTGCTGCAAACTTTGCTTTGACTCGACTGTGTACATATGTATGTTTAGGGTTGGCATTCATCCATGGAAACACAGAGAGGCTCTTGGAAGAGCAGAATGGTTCTTTTCCTGAGTGGTTTGCAATAGTTTTCCCAGCAATGATTGAACTTGCAGAGAACAAAGGCTTACATGTTTACTTTTGTAATGAGCTGGTAGAACAAGTCTTCCTAAAGAGACAAGAAATATTGCAAACGTGCAGGTAGTTTTAAATTTTAATTTCACTTCATTTTTTATAGGCAGTACACTTATAATAGACTTAATTTGTTGCAGGTTGGTGTCTGGTAGTGGTGAGCAACAGCATTATCCAGCACTCATGTTAAAATATCTTGAAGACGGGTTAATCCAATCCCCATCAGCCATTGCATATGCTTTCATGAAGACAGGAAACAAGGAGTTTTTGGTAAAATTGAATTCTATTGTCCAAACATGTGGTTATGGAGGTACATACTTTTCATTTTATATTTTGTATTATATGATGTCATTGTTGGCCTACGTAGTTTGTCACCTATTGTCCAAACATGTGAGTGTTCATATATACGTCACTAAATGACACATTAACCAAATGAGCTAACAACAATAGGCTTGGCTTCATGTACATGAGGTCATGTGTTCGAGTTCTACTCCCCAGTAATTTAAAAATAAAAAATTACAATTTTGGTACGTTTTCAGTTCCTGCGGTCTACCCCTTGGATGAAGACCTTGTAAAGATTCTTCTAATTAACCAGATTGAGACGCTGGGGTTGGCAGAGCATTTCACGGAGGAGATTACAAGTTTGCTGGGCCAAGTTTACAGGTTACACTCAATCCTAATATTCAACATTAATTAATCATGTATATAGATTTTTAACATGTGCATATAATTAATCTGGTTGATTAATTCTTTTTTGTCTCAAAGCAGAAGTTACATCAGCTGCGAAGAACCAATGAGTATGGCAAAGCATGCGTTGCCACTACAACTGTATAAACATTCCCTCGCATTTCGACTTCTAAGACTACATGGTTATAGAGTTTCTCCTCGTAAGGATCAATGATAATTACATATATGTTTATTAGTTATTGTTAATTAAATATTTAATTCATTTGCGTTTTGCAATTATTTTTGCAGGGAAGTTCTGCAGGTTCCTAGAGGATGAAGATATAGTGACGTACATAGAAGAGCACCATGAGCTTTTTTTGAGTGCCATGTATAATGTATACAGGGCAACTGATGTTACTTTTACTAGAGAAAATCAACTTGAGGATGCCAGGGCATTCTCAAGAAGAATACTAGAAAAGGAAACAAAGAAAGATTGTACGAATTTGGTCCGACCTATTAGTATGACTAATTTGCAAGGCCAGGTATATTTTATAGGCTTATTTACCATTTCCCTGCATGGAATGGAGACTCGGTCTCACTTTACCATCTCAAACTGAAAAGTTCTCATTTAATTCCGTGAATCTCTAAAAATTGCTGAAATTTTCTCACTTTACCATTTCTGTCCATTTCCATTCACAAAACCGTTAAGTGTGCTGACGTGCATATTGGTATTCTAGTAATTTTAGCTCCTTATCTTCTCTCTTATCTCTGTCCCTTTGCCTCTCTCTTCTCCCCCCATGCCAACAGACAAGAAAAATATGAATAAAATACATATATATACGTCCATTATATGACAAAATTTTAATCTATAATCTTATTATTTAAGAAATATGTGAATTTGCCTTATTATACTCGATAATTTTAATTAGTTACTTAATCAGACTCCTTAATTTGTTGCATATTTCCCTTGTTGTAGATTAAGCATGAACTTAGTATCCCATGGCTTGCTCGGTTGGATCATCTAGAGCACAGGAGGTGCATTGAGAGGAAAGAAACTCTTAGTCCATGGACAGGAAATTCCTTATCCTATAGGTAATTACTAATGCTAAATACAATTAGATTAAGGGATCAATTGTCGTTAATTACTTGATTAAGCAGTTTGATTAATTATTTCCCGCAGATTATCATCATGTGAAAGCAATGCCATGCTAGTACAACTTGCCATTGAGAATTATACCCTAAGACAGTCCATATTCAGAAATGAATTAAAGGAGTTAGAAAGGTACTCCTAATTATTTTATTTATTTATTTTATTTTAATCAGTCATGTCTAAATGAAAACCCCTTTTTTTTTTGTGGTGAAAAATCATATGCAGGTGGTCAAAGGAAATGGGTCTTGCTGACATGGGATTTGCTAGACAGAAAACCACATACTGCCATTTTGCAGTTGCTTCAACCGCATCAAACTCTTCCCTTTCAGATGTACGGCTGGCAGTTGTGAAGAGTGCAATTCTTGTTACAGTTACTGATGATTTTTTTGATACGGAAGGTTCAATGGATGAATTGGAAGCTCTTGCCAATGCCGTCAACAGGTACTGTAATGTTAAACAATGATTCTTGTATACCAGACTCATTGTTGTCAAATTTTCCAGGTTAACGGGCCGAGGGCCCACTCCGTTAACCTGGAAAATTTGACATGGTATCAGAGCCAGGTTGCGGGCCCGTACTTGCCACGTGATGGGTGGGTCCCCGTTTGGCCCCGCGCAATGGGTGAGTCCCCGTTTGGCTCCACGTAGGCCAAAGGTACAACGTGATGGGTGGGTCCCCGTTTGGCCCCTCGCGATATGGGACAACAATGAGTTCTAACACTCCCCCACACGTGAGATTCCATTTTGTGGGTCACATGTGGAGATCCACATCGGCAACCACGTGGAGCCATGTAGGGACTCACCCATCACGCGGGGCCAAACGGGGACCCATCCATCACGTGGCAAATACGGGCCCGCAACTTGACTATGATACCATGTCAAACAAAGTAGGGCAAATATTCATATATGCTCATATTATTATTCTTCTCCAATACGGAAGTATTTATACAAGTACAAAGATGTGTTAACCCTAAATAAAATAGGAAATATATCTAAATTACAATAGGAAGTAAATCTCTATTACAATAGG